CCGCTGGTTCAAGCCCTGGCTGGGTCAGTTGATATTTCTGTGTGGAGTTTGCATGTTCTCCGTGTATGTGGGTTTCCTCTGGGTGCTTCAGTTTTCCCCACAACTCCAAAGGCATGCGCTGTAGCTGAATTGAATTAACTAAAAAGGCCGTAGTGTATGTGTGGGGATGCAGGAGTGCATGGGTGTTTCCCAGTGCCGGGTTGTGGCTGAAAGGGCATTCGCTGCTGTAAACATATGCTGGATAAGTTGGGGTTCATTGTACTGTGGCAACCCATGATGAATAAAGGGACTAAGCCGAAAAGAAAATGAATGAACGAATGAATAAACCAATCAACATCTGTCATCATGATTTGTAAAATCTGGCCACCTAATTTAATATGGAGTCTCAAAAATAATACATTTGCAAAAATATAATTCATACAGGCACAGCACTATTCATATTTACAAAGCACTGTTGGTAAATTCAAAACACAATTTGTTAATTTGCAAGTAAAAAACATAAATAATTCCTCAAATGAATTGGATGTGTACATTTTTAAATTGTGTTTTGAATCTACAAATAGATTTTCGAATTTATGAATTGTTTTGAATTCACGAACTGTGTTTTGAGTATTTATGAAATGTGTTTTAAATTCATGAAATGTGTTTTGAATTGACATTGTGCTTTGAATTTATGAATTGGATTTGCGACTTTATTAAATGTTTGGAATTTACAAATCAGGTTTTTTTTGTTTATGAAATGTGATTTGAATTTAAGAATTGTGTTTTTGTGTGTTTATAACATTTGTTTTGAATTTAAGAATTGGATTTGTGTATTTACAAATTGCGTTTGGAATTTCTGAATTCAATTTTGCAAATGTATTATTTTGAGACCATAATTTAACCACTTAATTTTTTAAAATTTGACATTTAAATAACACAAAAGATCTGTGCAAATCTTTAATGGAAGCCAGGCTATCAAAAAAAGTTCTGCATCGTTTAATTCAAGTCATTCTGTATCATTTATTGTATAAGCAGTTTTCCTCATGAGGGAAAAATAAACGTCCCAACAAGGCAATAAATTACTTGTAATAATGTATTTGAACGGCTGTTTGCTCCCCGTTTTGTTGGAAACACCAGCTACACACATATATTCATTTCATTTATTTATATTGAGACTTTGCATAGACATAATGATTTTTAGCCTTTACAAACTGTAGGCTCTGTATCCAAACCCTGACCTTATTAAACATAATCCTTACAGAAATAAATCTGCCCTTTTATATTTTCTGTATAAATAAGGCAAATTTCAATCAAAAATGAGCATTTCTTTACATTAAACTAAAGAGCAGAGCCTTTGAAGTGAGGATTTAGAGGGAGCAGGGCACTTGTGTGTCACATTGAAGCCATTATGAATGGACTTGGTGAAGAGAGTGCTTAAAGGCAAATTCAATTGTAATTGTTTGGAATGTTAACATGACAACATGGTAATCTTGTTATTGCTTTTAAAATGTCTCAATTGAACACACATTTTATTACATCTTTAAAACATGCTTTATTTGTCTATATGTGTGTGATTGCTCTCCCCCTGCCCTCTTAAGAGTGTTTGAATGGAGATGTGAGGTGATTTAAGTGAACTTGACATGTTTTTTTTTGTGCGAGATGAGCCTGTCTGATTGTATCAGAAATTGCTGATACACAAAGATGTTCTTGCACAACCAAAGTTAACCATGTTTTAGGATCATTAGACAAAAAAGTGAAACTATCCAATGGCAGATCTCTGGGCACAAATGTCTTGTTGATGCATGGGACAGATGAGAATGACCAGACTGGAAGATACACAACAGTAACTCTAGCAAACACTTGTTTACCTAAGGTCTGCAGAGGATCATCGATGAATACAATGTAAATTGAAACTTGAAGCAGATGAGCTACAGCAGCATACCTTCTGACAAATACAAAGAGCAAACTAAGACAGTTTACAACAAAAGTGAACAAGACTGTAAACATGTTATCTGGCCTGCTGAGGCTTTAGTTCTGTTGTGGTTAAGAATTTGACATTAAATTGTATTTAATTTAGTTTTTTTTAATATTTTTTGCCTTATTTTGATATCTCTTGCAACGTTTGTTTTATTTTATTCGGCTCTTGTATTGATTTAGTTTTACATTCAACATTATATTAACAGTATTTCTTCACTTATTAACTATTCCTTTATTTAGCCATAGGGCGTACTCACAATATGCTATCCAAACGGTGCCCAGGCCCGTTTCCTGGAGTGTTTGAGATGTGTGAGTGCTCTGAATCGGGCTCAGGCGGCCCTGGCCCGGTTTTAAGAGGTGTGCCAGAGCGCGGTTCACTTGGGCTGAGGCACGGTACGCTTGTAGTGTGAGTGCAAACCTCGCCTGAGCCTGAAACTGAAGACAAGACGTGACTTTTAAGGGACTGTTTGATATAGATTTATTAATCATTCTTACTGTTTAATGAACGCAAACTGTCGTAGATTATTAAAGACACAAAACCCTCACTGCACGAAAGCTGTGCCTTCAGCAAACCTCCTCATACCTGCAGCACAAGGACTTTGTTTGTTTATGAGCGTCAAAAGTGGCTGATCTGTTCAGAGAAATATTTGACTGCGTCACCGCATCCCAAACAACTAAAATGATATAACTAAAGAAATCTCCACTGTGCTGAGCGAGATCACTTATTAAACTGAACAGTGCATCATCAGTGACGTAAGCGTGCCCAGGCCCGGATGTAATGCGAGTGCGGGCCGTCGGGGGAGACGGGAGGGGAACAAGCATGCTTCGGCCCGGTTCAAGGCAACTGTACATACGGTAGTGTGAGTACACCCATAGAAGAATGGATCCCCTACATTGTTAGAGACTGGTTTCTTGGAATGTTTGTTCTCAACTCGTCATTTGCTGGACTTTTGGTTCCTTGCCACTGTGCCACCCTTGGTTTGTTTGGTTGGGGTCATAAAGTGAACTAAATGAAACTTTTTAAAATCTAACTAGAACTACACTAGCCCTCAACAAGCCTGACATGCTGAATATGTACCACAAAGTGAACTATTCTTATGCCTTTTATCCCTATCTATTCATTTTTCACAGTCTAAAGCACTATCGAAATAAAAATGACTTGATTTAAAATGTGTTCTTAATAGGGTGGTTTTCATCTGGCAGTGTAGATCTCTGATCTCTAAAAAATTTGATTTGTCAAGAGGAATATGTTTAGAATTTTGCTGTGAACAAGCACTTGCACAAGTACTTATATTCGTGTGTGTGTGTGTGTGTGTGTTTGCCCTGCAGCAGCACTTTTTAGTTGTTTGAAGTCAAGTATATCAGGAGAGTTCAGAAGTGTTAGTGATATTCAGTGTTTTGCTGCACCTGTCTTCATCATGTCAGACATCGAGTAAGACAAGAGTAAGAGTAAGACACTGTTATACAACATACATGCAAGAAAGGTGATTACATCATTCTATGCTTTGATTTTGAAGTTCTGATCTAAGATGTACTGATCCCCATCCAACACTGTTATTATCTAAAAAGAAGACCCAGGACTGACTTTTCATAGTTTAGTTCATGTACAGAAAAACGTGATGAAATCTTAAATTCTTAGCATGTCCCTCAGCAGGATCCTGTTCTTTGTGCGTTTTTCTATAGGTCCTTGTGAAATTGTGTGATTATTTCATCCCAACCAGACTCAGACAAATCCATAATGCGTTTATTCTGTCATTGGACATTGTCTGCTTCTCTTTTTTTATCTTGCAAAGCAGGTCACAATGTGTGGGCAGCGAATTGAGTGGTGTTTTTTCTACTGTGAAACGAAGCGTCAGAGACATTTTGCTGTGCAAAAATATGTATATAAGAAAACAAAGTCACAGTGAGGGCTTCAGGGAGCTGTGAGACAACAAATAAGATGTAAAAAAAAAACAGAAAGCAGTGAAATGAAAAAAAAAAGTGAATGGAAATGTTATAAATCAAAATGTATGACTATAGAAATAACTTTTTTGAAATATATGGATGTTCAGTGTATGGATATTTGTTTAAAGATATGCACTGAGAACTCGAAATATAAAAACATTTGTATTGTAAACCTCTATCCAGGTATTTCTGTGCATCAATGCTCGAGCATGCTTATGGTATATTTTTCTCAACACTTTAATATTCTGACTTACATAAACTCATTGTTTCATATCAAAGGTCAAATGTTGCATAATTCCAGCATGAGTAATAGCGCAAAGTCAATATTCTTGGACAATAATATATCAGCTCTAAGATTGTTTTTCCTCTCAAGCTATGGTGAAAAAGACATTAAGGCCCAGTATAATTCAACAGGTAATTCATTCTGCATTGATTTTATCATCACTGAGATAAATCCTATTAATTCTGTACTGACCCACAACAACTCAATTCCTATTCCGTCTTGTAACTTTCTCTTATTTCATATTAACTTCAGATCATACCAAGGTTTTGGTGCACCAGGTCTATGAATCCAAACTGTTAAAACACAAATATTATATTGTAGTTACCAGAGTTACTGAATTCTAATGATAATAATTTTTGTTGAATGCAGTAATGGAACTAATTACATTTTAAACATGTGTAATTTGATTGCAGTTACTAAAGTCAGTGTAATTGCGTTACGTCACAAATATAATTTTTAATAGAAAAAAATGCTTCTTTTAAATCCCGTTTTCTGCTGCAACATCAGTTAATAAGCATGCACTTTTAAATAGCTTAATAAAAAGCATTCTATGACAATACTTGTTGCCAAAGAGGACACTGGTGGACCAACAGGCTAAATTGGATTAATGTGCAGGATCGATTGTGAAGGTATCTTCTGGATGAGAGGAGAAGTGTAGCTGCTTATGGGGCCATTCATACATTCGTATATCGTGTCTTTTGCACGTGCAAGTCTGTTATTTTCAATGGAGGCACGCAGCTTGTGCAAGCATATTGTGAGTGCATATTGCACGTGTTCCCATTTTCCAAGTGCACTGTAAAAAATAACGGGTGAAATATACGGTAAAATACCGGCAGCTGTGGTTGCCAGAAGTTCACCGTAAAATATAAGGTTGCAACGTGCAATGCTTTACAGAATACTTTTTGATGATCTGTAAATTTTACAGTTGAAAACTGCTGTATGTTTACAGTAAATTTCTGTTAAATAAAACAAATGTATTGTAAACATGTTTACAGTAAATTACTTTAAAAATAGCAGTCGTAAGTGTAAATTCCTTTACAGTAAACTACTGTGTATAATAAATATACTGTAAAACTAACTACATTCTATTTCCGTAATAAACATAAAACAACTGTATTAAATATAATAGTATTTTATTGTAAAGTTCAGTTTTACAGAAAATTACCGGCAGCTGTGGTTGCCAGAACTTTACCGTAAAAAACACGGTAAAACACAAAAGACATTACAGTTGTTTGCCACAGATTTTACAACAATCAATCAGGTTTTTGAATTGCAAAATGAACTAGTAAATACAGTCTATAGCAACTGAAGGCACAAACTATAATTATTAGATTTTAATGAAACTACATACAGGGACTGTGTTAAAACAGTTTGAGCTGATCCAATAACTTGACCAGTGTACTCACAAAGGCGTGTTGATGTTGGAAATAAAATGTGTCCATATATAAAAGTAAGGATAATCAATGAAGACATATACTGTACATCCATCAGGGCTGCTTGCTCTGGTTGAACAATAGTATTGAGCCCACACTTGACGGAAGACACAGGACTGTGTATGTTCCAAACTTGAAATGTAGTACTGCTTGAAGTCTTGCATGTAGTCACTATTTCAATATGGACTGGCATGATCTCTCTGCAGAAAACAGACACAAAGACAAGTTAGTTCAAGAGAAATATGCTTGAACTGAAATAAACTCAGTCTTCTTTTCTTTAATTGATTACCAATGAACTGCACACAAGCAACACCATAGAATTTTGTAGGCCACTTTAATAATAAATACAATAATTAATAATCAATATTAGGGCAAAAGATTGAAATAGACACATCTCAGCACTGAGCTATCATAAGTATTTGCTTCACTCTGTCAGCTTGGAGCCTAAATTCAACAATTCACACAATTTGTACTAAATCATCAGATAGGAGTCATCAGATACAATCCTAGTCATTCTTACAAAAAAATACACTAAAGTTTTCTAGGTTGAGTAATTGCTATAACTATAATAAAATAATTGTTTTTAAAAATATATATTTGTAGAAAAACTAGTTTAAATATAAAGTTGATAAAATATTTACATTGTGTGCCATTTTTGCTTTAAACTGCAATTAAAGATCTGTGTTGACAGTACATTTTTCAAAAGAGTATACAAACATCATTGTCTGCTATAAAGAGTCTTTTACTTTATCTTTTATCCCAAACCATTATTTTTAGTGTGTGGTCATAATTAAAGGGACAGTTGAACAAACAATGAAAATTTTGTCATTAATTACTCACCTTCATGTTGTTCTAAAACCTTAAGACTTCTGTCCATCTTCAGAACACAAATTATTATTATTTTTATTTAATCTAAGAGCTCTTTCTGATCCTCCCACAGATAGCAATGCTCCTTGTGTGAAGCAATGATAATACTTTTGGGAAACATTTTCAACAACACTTCTGATGTATAACATGGTACACTGGGAGCATTACCCAGTGTATATCATAACACCAGTTACATCATCATAACATTTTTATTTAACTACTGATTACATGTACTTATTAAGGGAGGATAAGAAAGTTCTTGGACTAAATATAAAATATATTTTAGTGTGTTTAAAAGATGAACAAAGGTCTTTCGTTTTTAGAACTACATGAACATAATAACAGAATTTTCTTTTTTAGATGAACCATTCCTTTAATGCATTATGCTAATATATTATTATAATCACAGTGTTGCAGGTATTGTTAATGCTGTTCTGTTGTCAACTATTGTTGTTTATTGATATAAAATTTGATGGTAAACACTATAATCTAAAGTTGTAAAATGATGTTAATAGACAAAAAAATCGATTAACTCGAGGAAATCATGTGGCAAAGTAAAAGTATTTATTAATATACTTTTTAGGGCGACATGGTAGCGCAGTGGGTAGCACGATCGCCTCACTGCAAGAAAGTCGCTGGTTTGAGTCCCGGCTGGGTCAGTTGGCATTTCTGTGTGGAGTTTGCATGTTCTCCCTACGTTCGCATGGGTTTCCTCCGGGTGCTCCGGTTTCCCCCACAGTCCAAACACATGCGGTATAGGTGAATTGGGTAAGCTAAATTGTCCGTAGTGTATGAGTGTGTATGGGTGTTTCCCAGTGACGGGTTGCAGCTGGAAGGGCATCCGCTGCGTAAAACATATGCTGGATAAGTTGGCGGTTCATTCCGCTGTGGCGACCCACAATAAAGGGATTAATATAGGGACTAAGTTAAAAAGAAAATGAATGAATAAATATACTTTTTACGCTTTGATTAATTCACATTTTAAAACATGAATTAAATAAATAGTTTTACAATTGTCTATTTATTTGTCCATTTAAATGGTAATTTATGTAAATTTTTATGCTTCAGTTATTAAATTGATAATTTGCTTCTTCATTTTATTTCTGACCAGCACTCCTGCTCCTCTATATAAATACACCTACTGTAGCTAAAACATAAATGCACCATTTATTTAATTTGTGTATTTATACTGTGTATCTTTTTTTAATTACAAAAATGAAATGATGAAATAACAATTTTTATCACCCACGACTGCTTGAGTCTACCTAGCATTTGTTACACCATACTATAACACTGCTTACCATCAATTATCCTTAAGACTGGCGTCTGACTGGGTCCAGACTTGACTGAAGAGAGGTCTCTTACACACAGGATACAATGTTCAGAAAACCGGAACTTTTAGAAGGTCCTCTCTGTGAACAGGGGAAAAGAAACAAAAAAGGAACAATTCTAACATTAATAGTTATTAAATAAATATAACTAATTTTAGCATTTACACAATAGCTACAGTAAATATTGCTGCAGTTTCGAAATATTGAGCAGTTTGTGTTATTTCCAACTCAAAAGAATAATAATAATAATGTAAACAATGTACATAAATATAATACAATTTAGCTGAGATTTTCTTTACTCTTTTTTTTTTTTTTAAACACAAACAAACTTTACTAAGATGACAATGTGATGAATGTGTGGTAATATTGTTCTGTAAATGTGCAAGACAACTTTAGCAATATAATTTTTTATTATTTTTTAAAAGCTAGCATAAAATTAAGTTAAATATAAACTAAAATAAAATTACACTTCAGTTGAGATCAAGCATAAAAATCTGTTTTGAGATTGTAAATTAGGACAATCCACTGCTATACAAGGAAAGATTGGAAACACGTTTGGGTTGTAATAAAATACTCTTTTAATGAAAGGTAATTTTAGTTCTACAATTTTGTGATACCAACAGAGTAAGGTTAGTTGAGCAACTGACCAAACAGTAGCATGTATGATCTGACAAATTGATGCATGGCAGTTAATTTAAAAGCTTATAATTTATATGTACTCACTGAAGCTTAGAGCCTGGCCACACCCCGTTTCTGCAAAGTTGGAAGCACCGAATTGCTCATCTGTGTAAGGTAAAGCAAGAGTTAAATAGGTAATTAGTACTTTTAAATTGATGTTTAATAATCAACAAAACTTACCCAAATTTATACTTGAAAGGTCTCTTATCCAAATAGAGACTTGTCAGGAAAAGAGAGTCCTTGTGTTCAAACTCTGGCAGACATAAGAAAATATATTGTCCTAAATAAGACAAAAATGTTTCAAGCATATCTTTCACTCTTTTAAAAGCAGTATGCACACTACATGTACTAAATAAATGGCTAGATTTAGGGAAAAACAACAGCTGTGCTTCACAAGCCGCTCAACAAGTTCAACACAACACATACCGTTATTGCAGCAACCAAAGTTGCAATCCTGATCTCTTTCCATTGTTTCCTGATGAACTTTAGTGTTGCTGTTCAATAAAGTGGATACAACAAAAATGTCTCATTAAAAGTGAAATTTTTAAAAAAATAAACATTATTAAAAAAAAGTATTAATTAACACTTTTTGTCCAGAAATGTGTTTCCTTGAAGTCATCATCTAGTGAAGGTTGAATGCAGTGCCTGAAATGTGTTAGAAGATAAAAGCTTTAATTTTACACAATATGCAATATTTAGCTTATAGAATGTGTTTACACATGCTGTTTTGTGTAAAAATAATTACATAAATATTCTCAAGTGTTTAGTTTACTTACTTTTACGTAGATTCTTAGATTTTAGCAATCCCACCAGTCATTAACTTAATCTGAAGTGTCACAATAATCACTGAAAAAAAGGTGTCTGGAAAGCATTTTCCAAAAGGTTTATTAAACTCCGCATGTAATCAGCCAAACACTCTGAACTCCTTGCTAGTACCAGAATATTTTGAAACAAAAAAAATAAATTAATAATAATTATAAATGCCAAAATCATAAGCATATAACACTATGTGCAGGGAGTATAATGAATTTGTTTTGTAACATCTTTAGAAAAATAAATTTAGTATATAAATTTGCTCTTTCCCTCAATGAAAACTAGAAAAAAAATGGAACAAATGCAGCCTTTAACAAAAATGTCTGTTACATTGTACTTTTAACAAAATCTGGAATAAGCCAGTTTACCAATTAAACAAAAACAATGCTCAATAAAACATTATCATTAACCCAAATACTAAAAGCATACTTTCTTTGTTGGTGGTTAACAGATAAGGTAAACTGAAAACTCAATTAATGGTGTATACGTGTTGTGTTAACACTTCAAATGATGTGAACTGAAAGTCCATATTTAACATGCCTCTCTCCACTCATGATCTGAGAGATCTGCAATGAGTGTGAGGACTCTTGGATTCACTGTTAGCTGTTTCTTGTTTTTCTTAGTTTCCACTTTTGTGCCCTTCTCAGGATTGATGTTGAAGAAACACCTTTTTGAATGCAAGAATTCAAAATTAACCACTAGATTAAGTGATTTGTTTAAAATAAATAAATAAATAAAATTATTTACCTCTGAATAAACTCAAGTGTGGAGCCCAGACCCACAGGATAGTGAATGTTGAGGCAGTAGTAGGTTGCAAACATCATGCAAACAGCCGAGATGAAGGTGGAGATGTATTCGTTGACAATTTTCTGGTCAACACTCAGCATGAAATGCTTTGCAGCATAACATGATGTTCCTGCAAGAAAACATAGTTAGAAAATAACTATTACACATGTATTACACATGAGCTCTGACTCTTTCAAAAAAACAGATCAACTTACCGCATACAATGATGCATGGAGTCACAGGTAAGCCTTCCACTTGTACTTCTTTTGCCATACAAGTTTCTTCCACATAGAAGAACCTCCTCTTTTTCATTAAAGTAGGAAAGGATGAGGAGCACCAGATCTTTTACATCTTCTGAGCAGCCCTCCAGCTGTCCTCTCAGAATTTTCAGCTTTGTGGCCGCTTGCAAAACATGTTTGCTTTTTTCTGCACAAACACTTCTCATGAAATCTAAAACACGTTTTCCTTTTTTTTCAACATTACTGAGGAAAGTCTCTTTCAGGGAAACACCAGTTAATTCATGAAAGTGAACTGCCATGCCAACTTCCTTGAATAAGAAAGGCCACTCTTGCATGAGGAATTGCAGATCGGTTCCACTGTTCACTGATTTACGCTGGGAGAAGTATGTGCACTTCATGAGATGTTTTACCTCCTCTGTGTTGAAGGTTGCCTGTTCAAATATCACTTTCATTTTCTCTTTTTTCTCTTCTTGGCTTTCCAGTGTCTCACTCACTGGCATAAACTTCATTTCCCACTTTATGCAGCCATATGTGTCCTGAACAGCTGCCCTCTGTTCAGCTGTGATTTCATCTGTGTCAAATTCATCTGACCCCCGTCTGCGCTTCAATATTCTTGGTACTGAAGACCGCTTGTCACGGTTGCAGGTTTGTGCGCTTTTCCGGAGTGTATGTTTGATCACGTGGGTTTGTTTTGTTTTGGTTGTCCATGTGTATTTGTTATGCTCACGTGACATGACGACTATCAGCGGGGCTGATTACTCACCAGCTGAGGCTCATTATTAGCCCTATATCAGGGCGACGTTTCTATGTCTCATTGTCAGTTCGTTACATCTGTTCTCATGTGTGTTATCTGTGCTCAGGCCCCTGAGGAGATATTTCTGGACCCTGTTTTTCCTGTCTGTTCCTGCCCTGTGTTCGTCGTCCTCCTAGCCTGTCACTTCCCTGTTTGTTTATTTTGACTTGGTCAAATAAACCTTATTTTCACTTGCATTTGGATCCTATTTTGACTCTTATTTTTGTTGAACGTGACAGAACGAACTGACCTTATTATGGATCCAGCGAGTGCATCCCAAATCTCCGAGTTCGTCTCGCACAGCAACGCCAGGATAGACCGTCAGGATGAGGCTTTGGTCACTTCGTCACAGGCGATCCAGGCTCTGGTCGGCCAAGTGTCGCTGCTTTCCTCCCAAGTCCAGCGGTTGATCGCTGGAGCTGCACGGGCTGACTCGGCATCGACTCCGGAGGTGACACCGCCAGCGTCTGCGGTTGTTGGTCGCTCTGTTGAACCACGCCTTCCACCCCCGACCTGCTACTCTGGGGAGCCCCTCTTGTGTCGATCCTTTTTGTCCAAGTGTTCCCTTTATATTACGCTGCAACCATCATTGTTTGCCACCGAAAGATCCAAGGTAGCGTTTGTCATCACGCTTCTTTCAGGCAAGGCGGCCCAATGGGGAACTACAGCATGGGAACAAAAGTTACCATGCTGTGCTACCTTCGACCTGTTCTCCACAGAGTTAAAGAAGGTCTTCGATCGAGCCGCCTCCGGGAGAGAGGCTGCCCGAGTTCTTGCTGAACTCCGCCAGGGAAATCGCAGCGTGGCGGAGTACTCTATAGAGTTCCGGACCTTAGCCGCTGAATGCGGCTGGAACGCGGAGGCGCAATGGGACATGTTTTTGCACGGATTATCTGACCGGGTTCAGGATGAGATCTATTCGTTAGATCTTCCTAAAACTCTTGACGGGCTAGTTGACTTAGCTATCCGGGTTGACACTAGACTGCGCCGTCGAGAGAGTCGCCTGCAGCAAGGCGGGTTTTCGGAGCTCGTCCCTGACTTTCCGGTCCTGACTGCGAAACCGGAAGTGGTTGACCCGGAACCCATGCAGGTGGGTAGATCCTGCTTGTCCGTGCAGGAGAAGCGCCGACGGAGATCGGAGGGACTCTGCCTCTACTGTGGTGGGGCGGGGCATCGGGTGGTTTCCTGTCCCGTAAAAGACAACACCCATCAGTAGGCAAGAGGTTACTGATGGGTGAAATTAATATGGACAAATCCTCTACGTCTGCTACTTTACTGCCCGTCTCTTTATCATGGGGTTCCGGAACTCATAACACACAGGCGCTCGTCGATTCCGGGGCGGAAGGAAACTTCATTGACTCTAGTTTCGCTTTCAGTTTCAAACTTCCGGTTATAGCACTATCACAACCCATTGCAGTACGCGCACTCAGTGGACTTTCCCTTCCCACCATCACCCACTCCACCAAACCCATAAAACTGATTACGTCTGGAAATCATGTTGAACACATTTCATTTTTTTTAACAGACTGTTCCAACTCACCAGTGGTTTTAGGTCATCCTTGGTTGATTCTGCATAAACCCCACATTAATTGGGGCCTTAATTCTGTATTCTCGTGGAGTGAGAAATGTCATGAGTCTTGTCTTTCGTCTGCTCGTTCTGCTGTCTCTTGTTCTGTGTTTCAGGAGGAGCGCATGGACCTGTCAAACGTGCCCAGTGAGTACCTCGACCTGAAGAGAGTGTTCAGTAAGTCTCGAGCTGCTTCTCTACCTCCTCATCGTCCCTATGACTGTGCAATAGACTTATTGCCAGGTACGTCTCCGCCTAAAGGCAAGTTATACTCTCTTTCTATTCCTGAGAGGGAGGCCATGGAGAAATATATTTCTGATTCTCTAGCGGCCAAGATCATACGGCCCTCTTCTTCACCGGCGGGGGCGGGGTTCTTTTTCGTGAAAAAGAAGGATGGCTCTCTTAGACCCTGCATAGACTATCGAGGGCTGAACAGCATCACGGTGAAGAACACGTATCCTTTGCCGTTGATGTCTTCAGCGTTCGAGCGTCTGCAGGGGGCTTCGTTTTTCACGAAATTAGATCTCCGTAACGCATATCATTTGGTTCGCATGAAGCAGGGTCATGAGTGGAAGACTGCGTTTTTGACCCCCAGGGGGCATTTTGAATATTGCGTTCTTCCGTTCGGGCTTTCTAATGCTCCTGCGGTCTTCCAAGCACTCGTAAATGACGTGTTGCGAGACATGATAGATCAGTTTATTTATGTCTACCTGGATGACATTCTGATTTTTTCTCGTTCTCTCCAGGAACATGTGCAGCACGTCAGGCGAGTGCTTCAGCGGCTGCTAGAGAATGGGCTTTTTGTCAAGGCGGAGAAATGCGTGTTCCATGCACAGTCTGTTCCCTTTTTAGGACACATTGTGTCAGTCGAGGGGGTGCGCATGGATCCAGAGAAGGTTCAGGCTGTGGTAAATTGGCCAATTCCGGAGTCTCGTAAGGCCCTGCAGAGATTTCTGGGCTTCGCTAATTTTTACCGGCGATTTATTCGCAATTTCAGCCAGCTCGCCGCCCCTCTGACGTCCTTAACCTCCGCCAAGACTCCCTTCAGGTGGTCGAGTGTAGCACAGGCTGCATTCACTAAACTGAAAGGCTGTTTTGTTTCAGCCCCCATTCTGGTGACACCTGATCCAGCCCGGCAGTTTGTGGTGGAGGTTGACGCGTCAGAGGTGGGGGTGGGCGCTATCCTGTCCCAGCGCGCCGCCTCGGATGACAGAATTCATCCGTGCGCGTTTTTCTCACATCGATTATCTCCCGCAGAACGTAATTACGACATTGGTAATCGGGAGTTGTTGGCTGTCAAACTCGCATTGGAGGAATGGCGTCACTGGTTGGAGGGTTCGGGGGTTCCCTTTATCGTTTGGACCGATCATAAGAACCTTGAATACATCAGGTCTGCCAAACGACTTAACTCCAGGCAGGCTCGGTGGGCATTATTCTTCGGACGTTTTGACTTTACCATTTCTTATCGGCCGGGTTCCAAAAACACCAAACCCGACGCGTTATCCCGTCTTTTTGATTCTTCCGAGCGCAATCCGTCTCCTGAGCCCATCGTTCCCCAGAGCATTTGTATTTCTGCGGTGACATGGGAGATCGAGAGCAGGGTCCGCACAGCCCTGGATGGGGTAACGCCCCCGGCCGGATGCCCACCCAGTCGTTTGTTTGTGCCGGAGGAGATTCGGTCTGACGTCATTCGGTGGGGACATTCCTCCAAAGTGGCTTGTCATCCGGGGGTGAGTCGTACTTTATTTTTGGTTAAACAGCGATTTTGGTGGCCAGCTATGGCACGGGACATACGCGAGTTTGTTTTGGCCTGTTCTGTTTGTGCTGTTTCTAAGACTTCTAATCGCCCCCCTGCTGGACTCCTTCAGCCGCTGTCAGTGCCTTCGAGACCCTGGTCGCACATTTCGCTAGATTTTGTCACTGGTCTCCCGCCATCCAGTGGCAATACGGCTGTTTTGACCGTAGTGGACCGGTTCTCGAAGGCTACTCATTTCATTCCTCTGCCCAAATTACCCTCAGCCAGAGAGACAGCGGATGCTGTCATTAATCACGTCTTTCGCATTCATGGCCTCCCGACGGACGTGGTTTCTGACAGGGGGCCCCAGTTTGTCTCTAAATTTTGGAGAGAATTTTGTCATTTATTGGGAGCGACTGTAAGTCTTTCTTCTGGTTTTCATCCTCAGAGTAACGGACAAACAGAGAGGGCCAATCAAGATCTCGAGCGCATGTTACGTTGTTTGGTTTCCCAAAATCCCTCCTCTTGGAGTCAGCAGCTCCCATGGGTGGAGTACGCACACAATTCATTACCAGTGTCGGCTACGGGCCTCTCTCCGTTTCAGTGTAGTCTAGGTTACCAGCCACCAGCTTTTCCCAGTCTGGAATCCGAAATCGCGGTCCCCTCCGCCCACGCCTTTGTCCAGAGGTGTCGACGCACTTGGAGCAGGGCCAGACAGACCCTCCTCCAAGTGGGTGCGCGCACTAAGGCTAAAGCCGATCGCCACCGGTCGAAGCCTCCCGTTTACGTCGTCGGTCAAAAAGTGTGGCTTTCTACTAAGAATATTCCATTGCGTTCCGTATGTAATAAACTTGCACCTAAATTCATTGGCCCATTCACTGTCATCAAGATCATTAGTCCGGTGGCAGTCCGCCTTAAACTTCCTCCAGCGTACAGGAGAATACATCCCGTGTTTCATGTTTCCAAATTAAAGCCCGTTTTTCATACGGCAATTAACCCGCCCACACCGGTTCCCCCCCCGCCGCGTCTCGTAGATGGGGAGACCGTTTATTCGGTTAAGCGTATTCTGGACTCGAGACGGAGGGGGCGAGGATTTCAGTACTTGGTGGACTGGGAAGGTTATGGTGCGGAGGAGAGGAGTTGGGTTCCTGCAAAGGACATACTGGATCACTCTCTTATTGATGATTACAATCGCCAGGTAAGCTCTTCTGGGAGCACCAGGAGGTGCTCTTAGGAGAGGGGTAATGTCACGGTTGCAGGTTTGTGCGCTTTTCCGGAGTGTATGTTTGATCACGTGGGTTTGTTTTGTTTTGGTTGTCCATGTGTATTTGTTATGCTCACGTGACATGACGACTATCAGCGGTGCTGATTACTCACCAGCTGAGGCTCATTATTAGCCCTATATCAGGGCGACGTTTCTATGTCTCATTGTCAGTTCGTTACATCTGTTCTCATGTGTGTTATCTGTGCTCAGGCCCCTGAGGAGATATTTCTGGACCCTGTTTTTCCTGTCTGTTCCTGCCCTGTGTTCGTCGTCCTCCTAGCCTGTCACTTCCCTGTTTGTTTATTTTGACTTGGTCAAATAAACCTTATTTTCACTTGCATTTGGATCCTATTTTGACTCTTATTTTTGTTGAACGTGACACCGCTTTACATTTTCAATTCGTGCTTGCAGCTGCTTGACGAGTGAGTGATATCCTGTTCCTACCACATCACCTTCTATAACATCTTGCAGTGACAGTGGATACTTTGCTACCATTTTCTTCGCAACCTCTGTGGAGGATTGTTTACCAGGAGAAGAAGAGGCATGCATCATTTCAGCAACTACAATTCGGATCAGTTCTCTGCGTAACTTTGAGCTTGGCCTTTTCCCTCTCTCCAAACTCTGCATTAAGGCTTCTGGGAGCTTCTCCCATGGAATCTGGAAGCTGTCGACCCAATCTGCAGTAGCAATCATGTGTCTGGGTGATGGTGAGGGTGAGGGTGAGGAAGACAGTGAGACTGAGGAGCACGCTGAGGACACTGGAGAGGTCAATGTTGACTGACTATGGAATTCAGTTGTCTCTGCTGTAAAATAAATTGAAATTTAAATGTACAGAATGAAATTTGTTTTTTTTATCTTAACTTACAAGTAAATGTAACTTTCTGCATAATGTACTTACTGGATTGTTTCCATGCAGCCAACAGTTTTCTAGCTTGAACTGGTCTCAGTACTGTGAGCAGATCAGCTTCCTTAATATACTGTAAATCTTCAGTGGCTCCCACACCTAAAGATTGTAATGTCTCCAATACAATATTTAGATTTGAGGTTGGTAGGTCTGGTAACACATTAGTAATGGCACTGCTTATGTTGCTTGGCTCTACGTCATCCATTCTGAGTAAAAAAATGTAAAAAGACAAAAAAAAAAAAAAAACTTTCAATTTTGACAGCACAAGACATAATTAGTGTGACAAAACACTGTGTTTCAATGGAACCAGTCGTTGTCCATCTTTCATGTAAGCAGCCAATGGATAGAAATCAATCATGTCACAGATGTTAAAACACTGGATCATTTCATTGTCTTTCCTCACTGAGTACACATGGTACTGAGGAAGGAATTCTGCTGTGTACATTGACACCAAAAGATAAACGGTGTTGTTTTTTACCAAAATGAGCACAAGTTCACCAAATTCCACCAAGTCAGTATACCCTGTGACAAGGAACTGTCCTTTCTTGTAGGCTGTTCCTTTATAAACCATTTCTACTGTGACAGCTGTGGTATCAGTGAAACCATATTGTCTGACTGCATCCTGAATGCCTTTACTGTACAGTGTTGAGTAGAATGGAGAACCACCTTTAATTTGCAAAACAGCCTGTCTATTGGAGCCTGCTGATAAATAAGCCTGCAACATCTGATGTCTGTTAGACAAAGTGAGACCAAGGTTTTTGAAATTCCTCAAATTTCTTGCACATCTTTTGAAATAGCTATGCTTGCTTTCGAAACGCATTGTCCACAATCTAATCAAGGGGCCAAATTTCAGAGTCAGTGCTGGATAATGGCGTAAGTAATGATGCTTAGGTCTCAGCTTAGTTTCGGGGAATATAGATGTTCTGGATTCTAAATACTCTTCAATAAGGACTTCAAGATATGCAATTTGAGGAACAGAGATTTTCTGAGCACATACCATGTCCACAATGTCTTTCAGCTGCAGAGTCAGCTGCCACACATCATCTGCTGCATCTTTCACTTGATCACCAATTATGAGAGGCATCCGTCTTAAAAAATTCCAGTTCTGTATTGCATTTCCAGTGAGCTTACCTGCTTGAGGGTTGACCTCACATGGCTTAGCAGCAGCATCTGAGGCACAGTATTTGAACTGTTTAATACGCCTGTTCAATGTAGAGTATGTGAACCATTTTTTTTTTTTATGAAGTATTTCAGATACAGTGCCACATCATATGACAAAACACCCTCAAATATGTCGTGTCCCACACAAGGTGGCAGACCAGGCTGACACACATTAAAGTATTTCAAAGTATTGAATTCTGACCTGAATTTTACTCCTTCCACGTCTTGTGCTCCTTCTGCTTGGATGCGGTCAATTGCTGAGTTATAGTTTTGAATTGTCCGGGCTGGTCCACACAGATTTGGATCACCCTGAAATTCAGATCGAGTAATTAGACAATATCTACAGAAATGTTCTGCACGGCTGAAATTTTCAGAGAACCCACCAATGCAGTGGGATCCTAAATTATCGCCGGCAATGCAATAGACCGTTCCTTTTACTACGGTTTCATCTGAAACAGGAATTCCATTCTCCTCCAAATACTTTAAGTCTGCTAGTAAATTAGAGAACACCTTAGCATGCCCAAATTCTTTAAAATCTTTTTCTCTGCACAATAAAACAAGTGACATGTGGTTTGTGTCTGACCTTACATGAAGTGGCAAATTAGCTACAGATAAATAAACAGCTAATATTTTATGTCTTGTCTTTGCAGAGCCTAAAGGATTAACAACTTCGAATGCATCCTGATACAGTACTAGTTTTAGGCCTGATGGATTCTGAACAAAAAAGTCATTTGATTTGAACATCTGGCCATCAGTAACATCAGTTAAAACATCTGTGGGTGTGTCAGTGGGGTGCTCCTCAGACATACAATCCTGCCACATATCAGACTGCAATAAGCATTTTAAAGTCTCTTTGACTGGCACATAATAGGCAAACCTATCTTTTCTGTTCTCATCCCTTCCTAACAAAACAGTCTTAGGCTCCACATAATTGAAATTTTTTTTGAAACACTGAGCTCTTGTGTGTGCAGTCCTCATTGGCCCTGTATGACATGCAGAAAACAGATCAGATTCCTTGACAGACTGACAAATTTTGGTGATCTCATCTTCTGTTAAGGATGTTTCATTCTTTAGCTGTGAAGCAAGTTTACTTAAAGTATATGTCTGACCCAACTCGTGTATATTTTGAATCTCCTCAACAATGTTCTGTGTGGTTGAATCAGGCACTAAGAGCTGCCCTTGCAGTTTTAAGTAAAATAAACAAATATTTTTAAGAAAAAGATCGTTGAAATCGTCGGATGTATCTACATCACATTCAAATTCATGGCCACAGTCATGTGACGTTAATTCGGTTGTTACAGATTACATAGTGATAGTGACTCTGTACAAGTCACTAATTGTGCTTTCTGTGAAATGTTTGTGTTTCCGTGACATGTGGGAGGTAAAGGAAGATTTAACTTTAAAAGCATCTGTGCATCCTCTTACTGGACAACTCACAACACGTCCTTCTACAATGTGGTCTTTCAAGTGTGCTATTAGAGATTTAGCATCTTCACACTGTCGATCACATAACGCCATTGCACATTTAATAGGCATAACATCTGTCCCGACAGCAACGTTAACAGGCGCATTTACGTTATGTTTTCTGTAAAAATGAGCCTTAAGCGATGCATATGTACAGAAAGTCTGTTTGCATTCGGCTGCAAAGCACTTAAATAAACGCGGTTCATTTCGGTGAAGTTTGCAATGTATTACATAAGCCCTCAATGATTTGACTGACTTGCCACAGAAATTGCAACTCAACATCGCTAATACTGATTCTGTAAAATTGTACTTTTAGTGTAGAACCGTGTTGTCAAACAGACTTACCTCGAAAAGAGAAGTGGAGTTAGCAGGTGCCAAAGGTTTGCACTAAGCATCACAAGTTGAAGAGCGGGCGCGCTAAATCGGCGGCTGAAATATAAAATGTCGACAGTTCACGTTAGCTCATTGGGCGGTGCTATTCCGCCATTTTAAACGGTGTGCGCGCTCATTTTTCGCCAACTGAAATATAAAATAACGTTGACAGTTCACCTTCGTTTACTGAGTGGTGCTATTACTACATTTAAATATGCACTTTGAATAGTATAAATGTTCGTAATTTATACTCAAGTTAACAAGTAATTGTTAAATAAATACACTTTGCGTCAGACAAAAAGTCTTCCCCCAACTTCACAATTTGCAAGTTACCCTATGAAAAAATTTAAAATAGGCATTGGACTCACCACTTGCATTGCATGCAGATCGTGATTTTTTTTTTCTCTGCATGTGTGTTCATGTTTTTTACAGAATTTTTAAAACATGCTGTTTAATAATAAATAATCAATAATAAAACACATTTCATAATTAAAAACACTTTCATAATTGTCTTCATAATTCATCTTTTATTTTTGCTCATTCTAGCATCTTTTATTTCAACCTTTTATTTCAGCCTTTAACCTATATAGTTGTGATTAAATACAAAGTAATATGAAAAATCTAATATTTTTACAACATGATTACATAGTGGGCAACACGGTGACGCAGTGGGTAGTGCTCACAGCAAGAAGGTCACTGGTTCGAGCCCCGACTGGGCCAGTTGGCGTTTCTGTGTGTAGTTTGCATGTTCTCCCCGTGTTCACGTGGGTTTCCTCCGGGTGCTCCAGTTTCCCCCACAGTCCAAAGACAAGCAGTAGTGTATGTGTGTGAATGAGTGTGTATGGATGGACCCAGTAATGGGTTGCAGTTGGAAGGGCATCCGCTGTGTAAAACATATGTTGGATAAATTGGCGGTTCATTCGGCTGTGGTGACCCCTGATGAATAAGGGACTAAGCCGAAAAGAAAATGAACGAATGAATGATTACATAAAGGTCGATATATTTGTATTTTTACAATTATATCTTGAATTTGTTTTTCATTGCCTTTAGCAATTAAATCTCAGATTTGATCCATAGGGCCTATTTAATGAACAATACACAAAAGTACAGTAAATGACAGAATATTATAACATTTTACATTAAAGACTCAAATAAAACAGCATATGCTGGTGATGTAGCCTATGTTTTGATGCCCGTATTCTGGTTTCAATGTAATATCTTGGCCCTGACCACCATTGAGACCAGCAAGACCAGCATTGAAACCAGCATACCTTACCAGCATATGCTGTTTTTTGTTTTTGTTTTTCAACAAAGTGGATGGTTTGACCAAAAAAAAAATAAATATGTCATTAATCATTTTCGGAACAGAAATTAAAATACTTTGGATTTTAACATTGTAATTTGTGGCGTAAGAACCCTTGCTGTCTATGGGAGGAACTACGATTAAATCCAAAATATATTAATTTGTGTTCTGAAAATGAACAAAGGTCTTACGGGTTTGGATTTTTTTCTTTTTGAGTGAACTATCCCTTTTATTTGACTAACATATACCATTCTTTTAACCTCTTGTTACTGTAGAATTTAAAGTAAGTTTCTGTTGAATTTTTGAAGGTTTTATATTGTAAATTTTATAGTACACATCAACAAAATGTGTTTTTACACAGAATTATACTGTTGATTTTAGGGTAATTACTTGCTTGAGAAGTTACGGTATTTTTTTATTTATTTCACCAAAAAAATATATTTTTACTGTAAAAAGTTGTATTTATTACATATTAAAAGAGTAAAAATTAAAGTTATGTACTCTTTCTTAAATTACGGTGATTTAATGTATGTAATACAGTCATATACTATTTTGGTTTAAATAGTCTTTTACTGTTGCTGCTTTACAGTTTTTTACTGTAGTTTTCACTGACATTTTTTACAGTGTGCGACTAGTTGAAAATCGTGAGTCATTTGACAATATCTGACTGATCATCTACATACTTCATATAGACTATACAAGTAACTATACATTAAGTGACTATACATTAAGTGACCAAATTTGAATGCTGTAATCATTGTTTACTGATCAGTGCATATGAATAAGAGCTTAATTAAATGTATTCATTGTATAAAGTGCTTGATTTTCTTCTGAAATTGCTACAATTATCTATTGAGGCAATTGCATGCACATACTTTCAATTGATTTTTTTTTTTTGGTTTAAATGATGTATGTTAGTGTTCCAAAAACAAGTACATTAATGGGCTTTGAATGACATGGAAGTGAGTATTTTTTATTGGGGTGTACTAATTATGATTTTAGTTCATGCAGGAAATAAATGTTTATATCTGGAATGTTTTGCATTTGACAGATGCAGATAATTAATCACAGTTAACATTCACCAGGTAATTAATTTCTGTGCAAATTATCTGTTTAAGCAATGGCAAAAGACAGCAGTTTCATTTGTTAATAAAGTGACAGTGCATACAAAAATACTCAATATTTGCTCAGCCTCAAGCCTTAACTGCTTTCTTTATTTTGTTGAACTCAAGAATATATTGTGAAGAAAGCTGAAGCTCTAGCTTTCTTTAAAAGCTCCAGCTTTCTTAAAAATATATTGAAACAAGTGAAGGGTGAGCAAATAATGACTATTTTTATTTTTGGGTCAACTATCTCTTTAACACTAAAATTACCAGAATTCTATGTTCATATCAACATTTGAAGCTTCTATTGAAATGTTACCGTAATGTGAAGATTTTAATATTTGTCATTAAATTTACCCTAAAATACTTTATTTCTTCAGGTGAGCAGAGTTTTTACACCACAGTGAATTTTTGTATTACTGAAAGTTTGAAAGACATGTCTGAAATAAAGTTTTATTTCTGCTTTCAGAAATTTACATTTTAGTTTAATACATTTTTGTTAGCAGAAATTCATAAAACTTTTTCGAAAAAGTAGCTAGCGCTGAAATGCATGCTATCAATTTGCCCATTATGGTTATTCAAGAAATACTCAATGTTTTTGTTTTGTTATTTCAAAAAAATAACAATGCTAGAATGAAAAATAAACTCACAAAAAGTTGCTACAACCCAGGCTTTCTGAAAACGTACCGATATGTACATTTCTGAAGAGCACCAAATACATTCCAGGAGGTAATTTTTTTGCAGTTTTTGTTTTTATGAATCCACTAGAAACCGCTATATACTTCTTTTTAGATCTCAAATTTCTCTCGTGAGTGCCATTCACACCTGCTGTTCTCACGTAAATCCACTAGAGGCCTCTGTCGACCGACTGAATGACTGACTGACTGATCGATCATCCTGCCCACCCTCTTCCTTCCCCAAACCCAACCAATAGTGTTTTCAAAAGCACAGATTGACCCATCCACTTTCCTAAACCTAAACGACAATTTTAAAAAGCATTTCAGAAAAAGAAAAGCCTTTGCCTGATTTTACCACGTTTTCAGATTTTACCACATTCTTACCCTGTTATTCACTTGTTTCTTTAATATTTTGGCTTTTGTTTTTGTCTTACCCACTTTCTAGAACTGTTGTTCACCGGACTCAAATCCCGTCGTCGTGTTCAACTCCTCTATGTGTCTCAAGTCCACCGACGTACATGGCAAGCTACTGGACAAACTGGTAACAGTGGGAAAGCCGTCCATATGGAGGTAAGCAGTCATCTAGTAAGCGTGAAAAGGAGCAGCATCACACCGCCCTGTAGCATTCGTTTTAAAGACGAAATGCTGCCACACGTACTTCTGGCTACATAATTAACGATCTCCAGACATGTATATAGGGCTACGTTTTCAGAATGAGCCTATATTAGTTATAGTACTATAGTAATCTGGGTTATTAAATTACAAAATTTTAAAACATAGACATCATTGGTTCTTCTGAAGGAAACGATTACATTTTTCTCATGAAAACAATCATTGTTCCCTGGGTTCTTCTGAATATTGCAGTTACAATTTTCACAAGAAAACACTTTCTCCAGTTTGATGGGATCTTTTTTTGTAACACCCACGAGACATTGTCTGCTTTCTGATATTATTTCATGAAGTCATAGAAGTCATGTATTGCAGTGAAATTTACAGAGCTTAGAGAGAACTTATTGCAATAAGAAATAAAGTCTAGTGTCTGGACCTTTGGTATTTGAAGTGACAAAATTTGGTCCAAGGGAATTCTCATCTGTGGCAGCTGCTCTAATGCACAAGCCCTGTAGATATTACACTCACCCGCCCCTCCTTAAAAAGTCTAAATATTAAAAGTAGAAAGTCTAGAAAGACTTTTCTGAAACATTTGATTTGAACAGAAAAAACTCTGCGTTTAAATGGCACATTCTTATAATACACTTGAAGAAAAAGCTGATTCTCTTTAATAAAACAAAACAGACTCGTTTGTATCTCTGTTCTTGCTTTTCATAAATAGATCTTTGGCTCTAACAAAGAGGCATATGGTGCCATGTGGTG